TCAACTTCCTTTCTTATATAGTTCAAACTCCCTTGGCCATAGGATAGTTCTGCCCAGTTTTAAGTTAGGTCTCACTATAATGAATGATGCTCTAGACACTGAGCTATGTTTTGTCACATCTATCTATCTATCTATCTATCTATCTATCTATCTATCTATCTATCTACCTTATGTATACTGGAGATTTTGCCTGAGGATACAAAATGCAAAAGCATGTACCCTATCACCGAGGGAGGTACACTCATACCTCCTGTCACACTTGTTGTGTACATATTATCTGTTCAGTAATGGTGGGTTCCCTCAAGGCATACATGGGATGGTATATATAGTGTCCATTGCTCAGCAGCATGCTTGGCTCTGTCTACTGGGATACTGTGTCAATTACCAGCCTCCAATATGAAAAGACAGTCCAGTATGTGTGGAATAAACAGAGCATCATTCATGTTTATTAGAACACTTTTTTAAAATTTAAATTGTGACTCATAATCCACAATTAACAAGTCTATTTGAAAACTAACGTCAAGTTGTATGAATTGATACTTTCTTCCTCAGATTGCTGATGCATGGAACCTCTGTTTATGCATCAACTCTTTTTATGCACCAACTCCTTTATTTATTTATTTGTTTATTTATTTCTTTATTTATGGCGAGCAAAGTGTTAGTAATCCAAACACATCTGAGGCTGGGCAGGAGGATCAAGACTTTGAGATTATCCGGGGTTATATTATGAGTTTGAAGACAGCCTTGACTATATTTCAAGCCCTCAGCTAAAATATCAAACACATAAAACAATGCAAACAAACAAAAAAACTTGTTGCTAGGGAGATGACTCTGTAAGTAAAGTGCTTGCCATGAGGACCTGAGTTTGAATCCCCAGAACCCATGGAAAGCTGGATGCAGTGGCAAACATCTGTACTCTCAGTACTCCTATGGTGAGATTGGGGGTGGAGACAGGAGAGTCTCAGAAGCTTGCATCCTGGCCAGTCTGGCACACGTAGACCCTGGCTCAAAGTGGAAGGCAAAGTCTAACACCCAGGGTTGTGCTCTGACTTTCAGACATATGCTGTGGCACATGCATGCCCATGTTTACACACAAGAAGCACACACACTGCACACACGCATACAAAAATAAATGAATTAAAAATAAAAATTGTTAAGATTTATTTTACTGAATGCAACCAAAGAAAGCATTATCAATGGACTGCAATTAATTTGAGCATATTTGACAACACAGGCTACTTGCATGAATTTGAAAGGATGGGTAACACATGACACAGACTCTGACAGTGGACCACATGCCAGCCTTTTTCAACCGTTGACATTCAAATGGACTCTGCAATGCCTGTAGACGTTTGAGGAACTTCACAATCTCGACATATGGAGGCTTCTAGCATGGACCTCTGATGCACAGGTGAGTGAGGTACAGCAGCAAAGTCCCTATACTCTCCCTGTATGTCTGTCTCCATGGTATTCTGATGCCAGCCAAACTTCAAACCCCACTAAAAGTTTTTAAGAGTACTTTCAGATGGTTCCAAACTGGTGTGTTTCCAATGTCCTATAAGGAGAGGATCCAATATAGTTTGACTGGACTTTCTTTATTAAAAACATTTTTATTACAAGCCAGGCATGGTAGGACACACCTTTTATCCCAGTATTTTGGAGGAAGAGGCAGGTGGATCTCTATGAGTTTGAAGCCAGCCTGGTCTACATAGAGAGACCTAGTCTTTTTAAAAAAGGACAGGGCATATTACTCTGTGGTCCAGGCTAGCCTTGTCTCAGTACAAGTGAAATGTAAGCATCAGTGCTCAGAGAAGATGGGGGGGGAAAAGCAAGTGCTCCTTGAAACATCTCTGGATTATTTATACTCACAGGATTCCTTACTTTCCAAGGGCTCTCTAAGCTTCCCTAGATTAGCATGTTTTCTCACTTGTGTGATTTTCTGGCAGGCAGTGAGGTCTGACTTGCTGAAATTTTTCCCATGTTGTTTGAACTTAAATGGCATCACAGTTATAAGTTCTTGGGCAGTAAGTGAATATTTTATGATGGAAAGCTTTTCTGCACTGTTTACATTGACAGCATTTATGCCTGAATACTCCATCTCTTGTTGTGTTGAACTTTACTACATCGTGTATATTCATAGGGTTTCTCACTAAATGAATTCACTGACTTATAGAGAGGTGTAATTGAAACATAGATCCCTGCATTTCCTATGGCTTCCCAACTGCTTATGTATTCTGACATGTAGTGAGACATAACTCCTGTATAAAACTTTCTCATACTCTGACACTTATAGGGTTTATTACTGGCCTGAGTTTTCTGATGTTGGCTGAGGAGTAACAGCAGCACAGTTTCCTACATGCACGGGGGCTTCTCATCTGTGTAAGCCCTCTGTTGAGTCTGCCTAGTTGAAGGAAGGTCTTTATCATTTGCGTCCCTACAGTTTCTCACCTACATTGGGTTTCTCACCTCTATGTGTCTTCTGATGGCGTGTGAGGTATGACTTACGTGAGAAAGCTTTCCCACATTTCTTACATTCAAACGGCTTTTCAGGTTTATGAATTACCAGGTGTCGAGTGAGGTATGCCTTAAGATAGAAAGTTTTCCTGCATTCTTTACATTCATAGGGTTTCTCACCGGTATGAGTTGTCTCGTGCTGCATCACTTGCGATTTACGAGAAAAGGTTTTCCCACATTCTTTGCATTCGTAGGGCCTCTCACCTGTGTGGGTTTTCTGGTGTTGAGTGAGGTGTGACTTACGGGCAAAAGCATTCCCACATTCTTTACACTTGTGTGGCTTCTCCCCTGTATGGATTTTCTGATGCTGAGTGAGGTGTGAATTGCGGAAGAAAGCTTTCCGGCATTCTTTACACTCATAGGGCTTCTCACCTGAATGAGTTCTCTGATGCTGAGTGAGCTGTGACTTCAGGTAGAAAGTTTTCTTACATTCTTTACATTCATAGGGTTTTTCAGGTGCGTGGATTCCCTGGTGCCGGGTAAGGTGTGACTTGTGACAGAAAGCTTTCCTGCATTCTTTACATTCATGGGGCTTCTCCCCCGTATGAGTTCTCTGATGGCGAGTGAGTTGTGACTTGTGGGAGAAAGTTTTCATGCAATCATTACATCCATAAGGCTTCTCAAGAGTAGGAGTGTGATGTTGAGTGAGGCTTGATATATAGAAGTAAATTTTCATTAATTCTTTGCATTCATTTTGCTGTTCATCTGTGTGAGCTGTCTGATATTGAGACAGTAGGGAATTATGGTAGAAAGCCTGGCTGTATTCTCTACACTCACAGGATTTATCATCTGTATAAAGTCTCTGATGTTGGGTGAGGGTCGATTTATCATAGACAGCTTTCCTATATTCTTCACACTCACAGGGTTTCTCACAGGTGTGTGATCTCTGATGGTCGATGTGCTGTGACTCGTGGTCAAAGGTTTTCCCAGATACTTTACATTCATAAATTTGTTTCTCTACGTGCACTTTCTGATCAGCCGTTTGTAGTTCAGCATCCAGACAGAGTAATTTGATGTTTTCCTTGCATCCTTGGGGCTCTTTCTCTGCATGTGCTTCCTGATATTTTGTAAGGTGTGATTTGTTAAGGATGGGTTTCTCATAATCACATTTATAATCTTTCTCTTCCATGTGCATGTTGTCATGGTTGCTGAGTTCAGTCCTACTAGGGAACATTTTATGATCTGTATTCCATCCCAAAGCTTGCTTTCTTAACTGAGTCATATTTTGGTCAGGAAGAGCTACCTCATCCAAGGATTTCTCACTGAACTTCTTAGAGGTTTCCTGAACATGAAACTTCTTAGGTATTAATATTGTGTTCATGTGGAAGGCTTCATCTGGCACAAAATACTGAAAATGACCCTCTGAACACTGATTCTTGCTATGGTGAGTAAAATGGTCAGGATATGAGAGAACTTCCTGAATTCCATTCAAATCATGAGTTACTTCTGTTACATGCCTCTCATCAGGATCACTAGGCAAAGGTACATCTTGCCATGGATTAACAAGCTCCTGATAGAACATTCTAGAGTAGACTTCATTCTTCATGTTCATATTTGAAATACAGTTTGAGTCCACACTGAATATTTTTTCTACTTCAACCATATCTTCATTTGATGAATTTCTCTTGGTGATTTCAAGTTGGCCTAAATACTTCTCTTGAGCTTGCTGTCTTGTTTCAGCCAGGGCACTCCATTTATGAACATCTAAAATGGTATTAAAAATGATCATTTAATAAGTGAAATATGGTCTTAAAAGACAATATTAAAAACTTGCATTTGACATTCACAGCTATTTATAGAAATTTGACTATCAATCTTAGAAATTACATAATGTCACTTTTAATAAAAACATATCTGAGGGCGCATAAACTCTCTTGTGTATCTTGATTATGGTAGTGATGGTTATGTGACCATACACTAAACTGGAAGAGTGAAATTTGCTATATGTTAAAATAAAAAAATTGAGAGGTAGGCTGCATACCGTCATACCCCATAGGTCATCAGGCTCCTCTGAAATCTTGCTTCTTTGTTCCTCCAGGAAGGCCTTGCTCTTTATCACCCCATAGGACACCTGCCTTCTCCAAGATCTCACTTCCTTGTGCTGCCAGGCAACAGACTTTATGTCTTGTTCTTTCACAATCCCACTCCCCTGTGATGGATGCTAGACTACCCCTCCTCTCTGGGATACTACAGCCCCATGTCCTCAGTAGGTCCTCCATTTCCAAAAGATTCCAGGCTCCTCTAGGATCTCATTTCCCAGTGTTCCTAGGTAGAACCACTCTCCTCACCCTATAGGTCTCCCGAAACCACAGCTAGCTTTCCTAGGATCTTGTGCCCCAACTCCACCAGTTGACCAGAGCTTAACACAGGGCATCTAGGCATGGAGAGACACCAGAAGGCCGTGAAAGAGAGGACCAGCAAGAGGTATGCTGATCACTAGATGACTGTTGGCATAGACAGTAAAGGACCCTCAAAAGACTACCAATGACAGAATGTGCAGCCCTCAATACTAACCCCACAGGGGAAATAAAGCCCCACCCTCTTACAAACTAGTCATCTCCTGAACAGTGCACAGAACTGCACTGAAAAAGAAAGGGATTTGAACAAAAAGAAAGAGAGACTCAATAAACACATTACTTCAGATGCACATCCCAGCATAGAAACAAAAATAACTTGAAAATCATGACAACTTGCTTTCCCCCAATTAATAAGCCCATAGTCATGACCCCAGTGTAACGACCTGGAAAAATTCCAAGACAACGAATTCAAAGGAATGATTGTAACTATGTTCAAACAACTCAAAGATGGTATGAATATATTGCAAGAGAACAAAAACACAGCTGAATGAAATAAGGAAGTCAATCTAAGACATGAAAATAGAATTCAATAAAGAGACAGAATTTCTGAAGAAAATCCAAACTGCATCAAATGCTAGAAACTAAAACTCAATAAGCCAAATAAAAACTGTGATGGAAAGCCTCATCAACAGAATGGATCATATGGAAAACTGTGTGAGGGCTAGAAGACACAGGAGAGGAATTGGATTACACAATAAAAGTCAATGATAAATTTAAAAAATGAACAGAACATGCAACACCATAAGACACCTAACTTTTGAATTATTGGACATAAAAAGAAGAATACCATACCAAAGGCATAAATAAAAAATCATAAAAGAAATACCCCAAAGTCTAGAGAAAGATACACATATCCAGGCACAAGATACCTACAGAACACCAAATAAACAGAGTCAGAAAGGAAATTCCCCACAACATATCATAGTTAAAACACTAGAATCACAGAGTAAAGAGAGGTCATGGAAGCTACAGGAGAGAAAGGTCAGCTTACTCATAAATACAGGCCAAGAGAATAACAGAAGATTGTGCCACAGAAACTTCTAAAGGCAGAGTGCCTGGAAAGATGTATTCCAAGCTCTGAATCATCAACTGCCAAGCCAGAGAAAAAAGATTAAAGAACTTATGACCAATAAGCTAGCTCTACAGAGGACACTGGAAGGAATGGGGGGAGGGGATAGCAGAACACAGGCAACATGAAGCAAGTGTGTGTGTGTGTGTGTGTGTGTGTGTGTCTGCCTGTCTGATTAGGGAGAAGAGAGGGCATGGAGTGGATTTGCCAAAACTAAGGATGTTGATAAGGCTTATGAAAATCTACTAGTTTGTCAAGTAATTTAACACACACATACACACACACACACACACACACACAAGAGTTTGAACAGAAGTACCCTTTATGGGTGTACAATGCAGAAGTCATGAGTTACCACATGAAAATCTCAGTGCAAGGTAAAGGATGCCTCCCTGTGAGTTACTGGTCACCAAGACCCCAGAGGTACCCAAAACAACACAGGCTATTGACTTTTTTCTTGGCTGCCCACTATTAACTAGATGGTTACTGAAGACACCACTCACTGTGGATACAGACATATTGAAGTTAACCTCAGCTGAGTAGGTAGCTTGGTCTCTGCTGTGGAGCTTACACAGTGCCAGAAATTGCCCTTCAGGCTGCTGGGGGTGCAAAGGCATCCGAGGTCTTACTCTGTGCTAGACCCTGCATGACTACTACTGACCTGCCTGGTAAGATGTGCCCATAGGTATAACAGTGGTAGTGATGGGTATGGGTAAGGGGATAACCAACCACTTTTTTTTTTTTTTTTGCCTAGATAGGGGGCTTGCATCACAGGAAGTATTTCATGCCTGGTACTATAAACCTGGTCAAAAGCCCATAAATGTTAGTATGTTTTTTTTTTTTTTTTTTTTTAAAGATCAAAACAGTAGTGAAAATACAATCAAGAGAAGTTAGGAATCAGGTGGATTCCCTGCCAAATTCTCCCAAACCTTCAAAGAAGAGCTGGCAAGAATACTCTCCTTGCACTGTTCTGTAAAGAAGAGAAACATCACACCCAACTCATCCTAAGACACCGACCTGATACCCAAACTTGCGAAGGATACAAGAAAATGACAGGACAATCTTCCTGATGATTGCCAACGCAAACCTCCACAGTGAGATTCTTGCAAATCCAATTCAAGAGCACATTAGGGAGATCACACACAAACTGAACAGCACCATCCAAACCAACAGATACAGACATGAAAAATAAGGACAATTGCCAGCCTCGCCAATGCCCATGGTAGGGAGAGGCAATAAACAGTGGTGAATAGACTGTGAGGTTAAAAACAAAAATCAAATGAATAATAAAAGAATGAGCTAAAAGAAGGAGGGAAAGAAAGGAATAAAAGAGAGAACTGGGGTTAAATAAAAGACAGAAAAAGACCAGGCATGGTGGTGCACACCTTTAATGTCAGCACTCAGGAGATAGAGGCAGGCAGATCTCTGTGAGGTCAATATAGCGAGTCCAGAACAGTTGCAGCTACATAATAAAGAGATTCTGTCTCAAAAATAAAACAATATTCAGGCCCCCCAAAAAAGTGTGTGGAAGAAGAGAGCACATAATGCAAAAAGCATTTGGTTACAAAGTAAGAAAAACACACACACACATAAAAGTAGAGACAGGTACAAGGAGGACTAAAATAAAATAAAACTTAAAAAATGAAAGTGAACAGTAATATTAATAACCCATCAAAAAGAAAACAAGCCAGAAAAGGAACTGGTGAAGCTTTTAATCTGTTCTAACATTGCCTCCAGCAGTGAGGGGTGGAGACTGAGGTTGTGCCTGGAGTCTTTATCACATTATCAATCTGTCCTGGGTGCTGGCAGAGAGTTAGGCCCATCAAGGCTATGTTGTGACAGGCTGTCTTTCATTTAGAATCATTCGTGTTTGCAGAAAGAGCCACTGTTGACCTCAGTGAACTTGGTGGTGTGTGTGCCAGGCTGGATCCTGCTTGCTCCAGAGACTAGTTTGTGCATGGAGGGAAGGTGATGTCTACTTGAGTCTGATTGAGGTTTTAGACTTCGGAAGCAATCTGCTGACTGCAGGCTGAGTCCTGCTATTCTCTGCAGAAACCCAGAAGTGACCAGGGCTCTGTCTTAGGGTTTCTATTGCTGCAGCAAAACACCATGACCCAAAAGCAAGTTGGAGAAGAAAGTGTTTACTTGACTTATACTTCCACAACATTGTTCGTCACTGAAGGAAGTCAGGACAGGAACCTGGAGGCCGGAGCTGATGCAGAGGCCATGAAGGGGTGCTGCTTACTGGCTTGCTCCTCACAGCTTGCTTTGGTTGCTTTCTTATAGAACCTAGGACCAACAGCCCAGGGATGGCACTATCCACAGTGGGCTGGGCCCTCCCTCACTGATCTGTAACCTTAAAACTTTCTGTAGGCAACTTTTATATTTGTTTATCTAGACTAACCAAGATGCTGGTTTTGGTTGCTGGGATGAAACATCATCAACAAAAGCAACTCGGGGAGGAAAGGGTTTATTTGTCTTAAACATATTGCTCACACTCCATCAATAATGGAAATCAGGGTAGGAAATCAAGGCAGGAACCTAGAGGCAGGAACTGAAGCACAGACCATGGAGGAACACTGCTTACTGGCTTGCTCTCCATGGCTTGCTCAACCTGCTTTATCATAGCATGCAGAACTAGCTGCCCCGGGGGGTGGCACCCCACACAGTAGGCTGAGCTCTCCTTCCATCAATCACCAATGAAGAAAATGGCCCACAGGATTGCCTAGGGGCCAATCTGATGGAAGCATTTTCTCTTTTCCCAGATGACACTGGTCTCTGCTGATGACAATAAATTAACATACACAATCATAATCCAGTGTTTCTTTTGTAAGTAAGTAATTCACTAGATGTTAGTTCACTTGATGCTTTTCCTAAAATAGAACCCCATGCTTTTTCCTTTCCTCTGGCTCAACAACCTTTGTGACTCTTCTCTCTATCTTTGTTTCACTTTTCCTTCTCAGGATACATTTGTATGATGACTATTGTTACCTAAACAATTACAAAGACAACAACCCTTAAGCTAATCAAAGCTCAAGAACTGAAAAAAACCCAACATGTCAACAAATGCCTAACAGAAATCAATCTATGGAAAGGAGGAAAGGACAAGGGAGGGGTGGGGGTGGGCATAGAGCTCAGTTGTTACAGTGTTTTCCTAGAACACACAAATCCCTGGGCTTGATCCTTAGCACTGAAAAAAAAAAGTAGAAAAATAGGGAAAGTATTTAACCCCCCCCCCCAAAAAAAAAAGGATGAGAAGTTTCACATAGTGGTAGTGAATTTGGGCAAACCAAACCAAACCAAACAAAACCAAACCAAACAAAACCAGGGAAAATGGTTTGACATGGAGTCCTTGATTTGGAAAGTATATAAAGTAAGTGTCATGTTCAAGAGTCCACTCCCTTCAGGTCTGGCTTTGATAAGAATTGGCTGGCTTTGATAAAAGTTGGTGAAAACATCTCAATGCGACCAATAGCCGAGTTGCTCATTTTTTGCTGACTCTTATCCCAATAGCATTGACTCACCTGGCAGGCACTGCTCTGTGGCTTCTGCACCACTCCATGGCACCAATCCTTGTTCCAACTTGGAGATCAACTCAGGTTTGGCTAAACAGTGCCCTGTAAATGGGAAATAATAAAAGATTTGTGCCAAGTCAGGTTTATGGAGAAAAGACAACGGTCTCATTTCAGGATCTTTGTCACAGTGGCTGAACTGGAACTTGTGGTAGAGAGGGTTTGCACCGTCGTCTTTACTCACTGGAATAGCATCACCCTAATGGGGAATTCAGTTGTATGACACATAACCCAATGTGATGATGCAAGAAAGCACAGAGGAAACAGAAGAAGTGAAGGAAAACAGAGACATTGGAACTATAACTCATGATCTTTTAGAGAAACGGAGAAAGTAGAGAGTGATCACAAAAGAACCAGCCAGAAGTTTTGGAAGTAAAGGCCTCAATTCATGAAATAATAAAAGAAAGCTGATGGATGAAATCACAGATCTCACCAGGCAGGAGAACAAATTACAGGGAATTTAAAAATAACCCAGGCAGGTTTTCAAAACTGAAAGAAATACAAAGAATGACAAAGCTGTGGATGGACACGCACTGCTGTGGAGAAAGCAAGCATTTCATCATGGTGTTCCAAAAGGAAAAGGGACATCAACATACAGATCGAACGTAAAGATTTTATGTCATGAGAGGATGTTTATGTCCAGATATAAGATGCTTAAGAACCCCTACCAGACTGGACCAAGAATAATTTTGAGTCATACTAGAGTCAAACTGACAAAACTCCATGGCAAAGAATATTCTAAAATCTACTGGAGAAAAGTCTATAGTTACTTATAAAACAAAGGCCATTAGAGGAATATGGTGGTTTGAATGAAAATGGCCCCCATAGGCTCATATATTTGAATACTTGGTTCCCAGTTGGTGGAACTGTTTGGGAAGGATTAGGAGGTGTGGCCTTGTTGGAGGAGGTGTGTCACTAGGGGTGGGCTTTGAGGTTTCTAAAGCCTACACAAGACCCAGTCTCCCTCCCTCCGTCCCTCCCTTCCTGCCCTCTCTCTCTCATAAGATGCAAGCTCTCAGGCCTGCTCCCTGCCATTATAATCAGACTTACCACAAATTAAGGCTTTGTTTTTATGAGTTGCCTTGATCATGGAGTCTCCTCATAGCAATAGAAAAACAACTAAGACAAGTCTCAACCACTGTAGCTGTAACCTTACAGACCAGCACTGAAGTGATTTTAAAGCTGGCATGGACACAGCAAACCAACTACAGACCAAACGGAATATAAAAAGATAATAAACAGTGATTCTAATTTTTTGCATTTATTTATCTTGTTTGCCTGCATGTATATCTGTGTATCATGTGCATGTCTGATGCCCTTGGATGTGAGAAGAGGACATTAAATGCCTTGGAACTGGAGTTATGGATGGCTGTGAGCCACTGTGTATGTGCTGGAAATTGAACCTTGGTACTTTGCAAGAGCAACAAGTGCTTTTTAACCACTTAGCCATTTCTTCCAAACACTAAACCGTGATTCTCTGTAATTTGTTCCAGGGTACAACTTTCATGTTATGAAAACTCACAAGCGTAAACCACCTTACCAACAGAATGAAGAATATAAAACCACATGAACATCATCATCCATGCATAAAAAGGACTCGAGAAAATTTAACATCCTAGCTTCATGAAATTCCATAATTAGAGACAGAAGGACTATACTGCAATACTATGGGAGTTATATACAACAGACCCATAGTCCACAGGTTAATGAATGACAAAAAACAGAAATTATTTCCTCTAAGCTCTCAAACAAGATAAGGATGTACTATTTTTTTTTAAAGATTGATTGATTGATTATGTATACAGTGTTCTGCCTGCATGTATGCTTGCAGGCCAGAAGAGGGCGCCAGATCTCATTACAGATTGTTATGAGTCACCATGTAGTTGCTGGGAATCGAACTCAGGACCTCTGGAAGAACACCCAGTGTTCTTAACTGTTGAGCCATCTCTCCAGCCCCAGGATGCACTATTTCAACCCTTTTCTTCAATATAAGTACAGCAATGTAGACACAACAGTAGAGTAAGGGAAAGAAATAAAAGGAATTAAAACATGAAAGGGCAATATCAAAAATGTCCTGTTTTGTAGGATACATGATTTTTATATAGAAGACAAACAAACAAACACAATACATAAATAAAAATAACAATAGTTGGATTAGTTGAATCAGTTTCCTGGGAGTATGGAACACAAAGTAAAAACACCCAAATCTGAAGTTACATGCTTATTAATAACAGAATTGCTGAGAAGTAAATTCAGAATTCAATTCAATCTCCAATAGCTATAAAATATTTTTATTATTTATGTTTATTTTATTATTTATGTTTGTGTATGTTGTGTATGTGGGTGATGGTGGAGGCCAGAGGAGGAGTTGGATCCCTGCCTTCAGGGGAGTTACAGGCAGTTGTGAACTACCTGATGTGGGTGCTGGAAATTGACCTCTGGAAGACCAGCAGGTGCTCTTAACTACTGAGCCATCTCTCCAGCCATTATAAATTATTTTTAAAAATTACAATAATTTAAAAATTCAATAACCAGGATATACATTGGAACTCTAAAACAGAGAAGAAATGTTCAAGAGGACACACTGACAAAATGACACACACAGACACACACAGACACAAAAAATACCCTATGTTCACGGTTTAAAAGTAAATTGCTAACATTTCCAACTAACCAACATGGTTTACAGATTTAATGAAATTCCCATTTCAGTACCAATCATATTCTCCACAAAACTGGAAAAATGCTGTCCTAAACATCTTAAGATGTAAAACTGTGAAAGCAACTTTAAACAAAAAGAACAACCCTAGAGTCATTATAATACATGTTTTCAAAACACACCCCAAAGATACAGTAACTCAAATGGTGTGGACTCAGCATAAAGAGAGACCTACACCAGTGGAACAGAGCGGAGAACCCAGATACAGCTCTGTATATATGCAGTGTTATACTTTGAATGTTACACTTTGGATCCAAAACATGTTAAAGATCATGGGACATCATCAGCTGCTGGGAGATGAGACCTAATAGAAATGGGGTCATAAGGACAAATGTGAAGGGGATATTGGGCAGCAGTTTCTCCTCCTTTGCCTCCTGGCTGCAATGAGGTGATCAGCTTTGTTCTAACATGTGTGCTCTGCCATGATGTCACCACAGAACAAGGGTGACAGGGCCAACTGATCATCGACTGAAACCTCTGAAAAACGCAATCCAAAAGAAATCTTTCAAGATGCTTGTGTCAAGCATCTTTTTTGTTTTTCCGAGTGACAGAATTCTGACTAACACATTCAGCCAACTGATTTTCAACACAGCTTTCATGCACTCGCACCCAGGAATACTCAGTAATAAATCACACTGAGAAAAGGAAGCAAATTCTTATTTCTCACCACAGATGGAAATCACTTGAAAACAATCAAAGAAGGGGATGTAAGACCTGAAGCTATGAACTCATACTATATATGTGCAATTCTTCAGTACAATGACCTAGGCAAAAAGTCTTTTTGACATAATGCCAAAAAACAAATCAATAAAAGCAAAAATCAGTAACTATTATAAAAAAATTCAAAATTGTCGGTTCAGAAAAGCAAGCAATCAGAGCTAACATATAGAATAAGAAAATATAGGCCAACAACCTGTCCAGACATTAGCTTTTAGAACATATGAATACTTCAGGTGCTATTGTTTTAACTTCAGCATAGTGGCTGTGCCTAAATCCACTGCTATTTTTGCCCACAATTACAACTCCACAGTTACCAGCCTGCTTCTCTAACAGCAGCCAGGTGGGAATTCTGTTCCTGCAGGCAATGGGCTCTGTCGCTGCCTCTAAAGGTAGCTGCAACAAAATCTCTATCGTTCTACTTATAAATAAGACTCAAGATTCAAAGGCCTGGGTGAAAACCTGCTAGCTCAGAGAGGCTGGGTCACAATTAGCTAACCTTCCCTCCTTGCTGGCCTCTCTGAAAGACCTGTGTTTTGGCTTCACCAAACTAGAAAAAACTGTGCCACTCCAAACCCCACCCTATTACTTCCCTTCTCTCTCTATCTCTCCTGGATGCCCACTGAGGTTCTATGATTACTTTCTGTCAATTAGTTGTTAATGGAGCTCCTGACCCAAGGTTAATTTTATTTAACTAGCATAAATGCAAACTCGGGGCTCACAGTGTGATCGAACACCCTCCCCACCCCCAACAAGATGCCTATGGGACAATGATGTGAATGAATGCTACTTCATCAGGACATACAAATAGCTTGAGGAATTCTCAACACCATCAGAGAATGCCTGGGACAACCACACAGGATATCAGCACACTGAAGCTAGAATGCTATCCAAGGAACAAAATCACAAGTGCCGGAAGGTCCTACACACTGATGATGGGCAGGTAAATGAGTCCAGTTACCATGAAACCGGTACAGAAGGTCCTCAGAGTCTAGAAACACACTGGCACATGGATTGTTTGCACATGTCTTCAATGGATGTGTTACTGGAGTGCTGAAACCTGCATTTGTTGTTATTGATTTCATATTTTACTTCTTAAAATGATTTATTTTAAAAATTGTACGTACTTGTGTGTGTCTGTTCTGTGTGAGGACATGTGCATGTGAGTATAGCTGCCTCTGGAGGACGGAAAGGGGTGTGAGTTCCTGGAAGCTGGAGTTACAGCTGGCTGTGAGCCACCAGATGTAGGTGCTAGGAACTAACTCAGGTTCTCTGGAAGAGTAGCAAGTACTCTCAACCCATGATCCATCTCTCCAGCCCTGTTTTTCATTTTGAAGTAGTCTAATGCAGCCTAGTTTGGCCTTGAACACACTATATAGATAAAGAATAAACTTGAACTTCTGGTCCTCTGCCTCCACCTCCTGAGTGCTAGGATTGTAGGAGGGTAATGAACGGTGGTTCATTCCTGGTTTAAAACCTTTGGTCTTGTGTTCATTACAGCACTGTTCACAAAGCAAAAAGATGTGATCGATGTAGGTGTTTATTAACACAGGAATAGTAGTAAAATAAAATAAAAAGTATACTTAGAAATGGAACATTTTCTAATAAAATAAATGAAAATTCTGTCCTAGTGACATGACAGAAAAGGAGTGTGGTACAGCTATAGTACATCTAGTTCCTCTGTGAACAGTCACCACCATCTTGAAGTAGAGCAGCTGTGGCCTGCAGAAGACACTAGCCTACTCATAGCAACAGAATGGAGTGAACTATATAGCAGACATCTAGGTCTATGACAGAGGTTCTCAACCTGTGGGTTGTTACCCTTTGGGGGTTGAATGAACTGCCTAAAGCCACCCTGTATATCAGATATTTACATTACAATTCATAACAGTAGCAAACTTACATTTAATGAAGTAGCAATGAAAATAATTTTATGGTTGGGGGTCATTACAACATGAGGAACTGTATTAAAGGGTTGCAGCATTAGGAAGGTTGAGAACCACTGGTCTGATAATAGTAATGGGATGTTAACATCCCCTCTTAAGACAGCCATTAACACCTCACATGAAATTCCAATAATGGCTCCCTCCTGCCCAACTGTACATGCACTTAATAAACTGACTTTGGAGTTTCGGCAAAGGGAACTCGACAGATACTTCGGTCAGCTTCCTCTTATTTGGGGTGGGCAGAGTTTCTTTTATGCCTCTCCAGAAAAACCACAATACATAAGTGAAATATATTGGGTAAAAAGCAAAAAACAAAACCAAAAGCTAAGAAAGAAATAAGGAAAGAAAGAGAAAACCAAAAGGACAAGGCTGCATGTTCTCATTGAACGCTTAAGTTGAACTCAAAGAAGTAAAGAACAGAGCAGTGGTTACAGCATGTGGGGAAGGAAGAGGGGAGGGGGATGGTTAGTGCATCCTGGGTTACGGTGAAGGGAGGAATAATTTCTAATGCTGTATAGTCTGAGTACTGCGTGGCAGTTGAAAATGTATACTACCGAAGAGTATGAACAGATATTATTAACTTATCAACAAAGAAGAAAGCAATTACTGCTGAGAGTTGCAGAGGAGTGAGACTCACCCAACCACACCAGGCTCCTGTAGTTCTCCAGCATCACATCTCTGTAGAGGGTCCTCTGAGCAGCATCCAGCTCCTGCCACTCCTGCCAGGTGAAGTCCACAGCCACGTCCTCAAATGACACCAACCGCTGCAATGACACACTTCTGGTCAACCCAAGTCCTTAGCCCTGAGAACACAAAATCAGAGCTCGTGTATTTCTCTCTCTCATACGCACGCACGCGCGCGCGCACACACACACACACACACACACATATACATGCACACACACACATGCACACACACACACACACACATACACGCACACACACACATGCACACGCACATGCACACCACACCACACTACTGTCTTGTTAGTGTTTAATAGAAGGTACAGCTTGACTTATATTCTGTTTCATATGATAAAGAAAACTGAATACAAACATCCTAACTTGGGTCAATTCATGGATTAAAACAAATTAGTTTCCTAGGAATCACAATACAAACAAAATCCATGGATGAAAGGTTTTATTGCTTTTTTAATAGAATTAAAGTAATGGAGGCACTAGAGGGATGGCTGAGCTGTTGAGAGCACTGGCTGCTCTTCCAGAGGACCCAGGCTCAATTCACAGCACCCACATGGCAGCTCATGACTGTCTGTAAGTCCAGTTCTGGGGGAGCTGACACCCTCTTCTGACCTCTGTGGGCACCAGGCATGTACATGGGGCACATAAATGCACGTAGGTAAAACACTAACTGTGCTGGATAGTTTTATGTGAACTTGACACCAAAAGTGTCACCTGAGAGTAGGGAACCTCAGGAAAATGGATTTCTGTGAGTTCAAGGCCAGCCTGGTCTTCCAGGACAGCCAAGGTTACACAGAGAAACCCTATCTTAAAAAACCAAAAACACCCAAACAAAACAAAACAAAAAAAATTGGATGGTGGTGAACACATTTAATCCCAGCAGAGACAGACTCTGTGAGTTCAAGGCTAGCCTGGTCTATGGAGTGAGTTCCAGGTCAGCCAGGGCTACACAGAGAAAACCTATCTCAACTGTCTCAAATAACAACAACAACAAAAAAAAAATCAAGCAAGCAAGAAGAAAAATTGGGTTGTGGGCAGACCTATAAGGCATTTTCTTAATTAGAGATCAATGGGGGAGGACCGAGACCATTGTAAGTGATGCCATCCCTGGCTGGTGGTGGTCCTGGGTTCTATAAGAAAGCAGGTAGAGCAAGCTATGAGGAGAAAGCCAGTAAGCAGCACCCCTCCATGGCCTCTGCATCAGCTCCTGCCTCCAGATCCCAGCCCTGCTTTAGTTCCTGTCCTGAATTCCTTCAATGATGGACAGTGATATGGAGTGTTAACAAATAAACACTTTCCTCCCCAAGTTTCTTTGGTCATGGTGTATAGTGATATTTTATTTGTACTAAAATATGATTTGTATGTTAATAAATAAAGTCGCCCGGGGGTCAGAGCTATTAGAGCCATAGCAAAAGCTGGGCGGTGGTGGTGCATGCCTTTAATCCCAGCACTTGGTAGGCAGAGCTAGGTAGATCTCTGTGTGTTCAAGGATACAGCCAGCATTGGAGACACACGCCTTTAATCTCTATACCAACCATAGAAGACCTGGAAGTCTGTACAGACAGGCAGTGACGAGGCAGTCATGTGGTTGGGTTTACAACCAATGAGAAGGCAGAACAGAAAGTCTGTATAAAGACAAAAACACAGGAAGTAGGTCTCTTGGCTGAAGAGGCTAGCTGCAGACAGGTAAGGCTCTTTGATCTCTTGGCTTTCTTCTTTGCATTGGTTCTGTGTTTCTTATTTAATAAGATGGTTGGTTACATCTACATTTAGCACCCAAAGTGACAAGAATCCATTAAAAACCGCTTGGCTTGGCTTGGTGGCAGGTCCAGTTTTCAGCCTGGGCAGCCCGGCTCTCTAGCTTGGGCCCAGGTCTGCTTGGTCTCAGGTCGGACAGACCGTAGCTCCAAGCGGTTACACGCAGCTGTTGCTACTCACTTAAAGCTGGTGCTACAAACAGCTCAGGCCTGCCCTGGTGAACTGGGCCCTACCTGTAAAGCCAATGCACCAATAAACCAAATAAAAAATTAAAAACTTATGTGGAAAAAAATCTCTGACTTGATTTGGAAAGAAAAATTGAGACTTTGTCAATTAGCAGGAATAGACCCAGCAGAAATTGTTGTACCTTTAACTAAGGATGACATTGAAAAATTATGGACAGAAAGTGAACCTTGGCAAAGAGCTTGCAGTAATTTTTTGGGAGAAATTAACAGCAAATATCCCAAAAGCGATAGAATTGATCTTATAAAGAGAGCTGATTGGATCTTGCCTCGAATTGTACTGGAAAAACCCATATCTGGAGTTCGTACATTTTATACAGATGCCAATAAAGAAGGAAAGGCACGTTACAAATCAGAAAATTTAAGTAAAGTGGTTCAAAGTCGTTATAATTCAGTTAAAAAATCAGAATTGTATGCTATTCTGCTGGTATTAATGGATTTTTCAGAACCTCTCAACATAGTAACTGACTCTCAGTACTCTGAAAGACTAGTATTACATATTGAGACTGCAGAATTTATCCCTGATGCTTCAGAATTAACTTCACTATTTATTCAATTACAAGATACA